TATTTATGCTACTGTGATCCTAACAGGTATATGTGTCAGCCCTGATTTGCATAGCACTCTCAAAGCAGCTTTAGTGAAGAAGTGGAGATCCGCGGTCCTATAATAGTGCAGGTTTCAGTTGTTGACCTGTGAGGGAAGTAAGACACATTTAATCCCTCCGGATAGAGGGTTCATCGGATTCTTTGACAGTCCTTTGACCCTGCAACACACGTCATAGCCCTTATGGCAAGTGGCAAGCAAAGGGAGGAACACTTTTTGTACTTATGAGCAGTATGAGCAAGCCTCATGAAACTGGTTGTTTGAATGATTGTCTTTAGGCTAATAAGTAACTTAAACAATAAACAAATTAAATGATAAAATTTAGAACTAGCTCATTCAAGATGAGTCACTTCATGATGGATCTGTGAGGGTGGCTATTGAAGACTTCATTTGGTTATGGGAAAGCCTGATAATTGAAAAGCTGGTAGTAATTTTATGGTACAAGACTGCGTGAGAGTGTTTTTAAATCTTTTCATGAGTTGCAAATTCAATTGTGTTTTCACATTTTTGACAAAGAGCACTGAACGCAATCTGTCTAAAGTCCCTCTGTCCTCTGTCCTCTATCTGATGCACTATTCTGCAGGATAGTGTGTATCTGGGAGATCTGTTCCAAGTCGCTGTTTATGAAATCCAACTTCACACGTTAACAATAACTCATGCAATTATGTGACAACTGGATGATAACTCCTGTAGCTACTTAATTATGTGATTAAATTGATATAGGAAAAAGCACTGGAGCATCTGTGTAAGCCTTCGGAGAACCTAATGCATCTGTGGCCATTGATCTAATATTCAAAGTGTTACAAGTGAAAACCAGTAGGCTACCAGAGATTTCTTAACAGAAACTGTTACATACCATAATTATGATTTTTTTTAATGACTAATGAGATAAAAGGTGGGACGTTAGTAAATCTAGAATCAAGACATGACTTAATGAATGTAAAAACAATTTCAAGTAAACAGAAAAAAACATGCGTAGCTACAAAACAAGATTCTTTGAACTGATTAAAACCAAGATGAACAATGAGCAGAACTATGGGACGTGGGAAGAAAAGCGTTTCCCATTATTTTTCAACCATTTTGAAGGCAGTGCTGTGAAATTAGCATGCAGGGGAACTGGGAAACTGATGTTTATTGATGATTTAGCTGCTGAGTCAAATGGCGATGTGGCAATGTCTCAGTGTAAACATGGATAATAATAAGCAATATATACAGCAAAACAAACATGAGCTCCTTCAGACCGATAGTCAAATGTCTGAGTCAGTCCCCTAAGCTCAACCCAACAGCTATATCTAAGGCCTAGCAAAGTAAATACTATGTTTTCCTCTGGGGAGCCAACACAGTATTAGGTGTCCTTGGGTTAGACAGACAATGACTGCAACAATTAATTAAATATAGATTGACTTTTATTTTTTGGAGTTTGAGTCAAAGATATTAACATCTTAGCTAATGTTAGCTAAAACAAGTATAAGATAAAGGTTCCAGATAACACAGCTACAAAAACACTGTGTGTTACTAGCAAAGCATTAATAGATTAATATTTAGGATTACAGATGAGGTCTCAGTCCTGAATCATATTTAAAGTTGCTATTTAGTATTATTCATCAAGCTGACCATCATGCACATTTAAAGCTGAATAAAATGTAATTTTCAGTGGCAGCAACAATGTTATGAAGCTGCAACAATTATTCCTTAAAACAAATGCTGCTCTGTGGTCTTTCTTGACTATAACACGGAGCATAATTTACAACATTTAAATCACACTGCATTCACTCGCAACAGAGATCATAAACTCGGGTAGCAGACGACAGTTTTAGTCATTAGAGCAGGTTTAAGGAATCATGAACTGCTTTCAACTTTCAGAGTCGTACACTATGTTAATCTTTTTTATACAGTCTATGACCTAAAAAGACTAAAGCTGAGCTGCTTCGGCCAAACTAAGTATAACGATTTGGGTGGAGGGAATTCCCTGTCTAGTGCCACCCAGAGGCCACACTGTCACAGCCACAGAAAGTGGAACATGTAGCCTACTTTTAGAGCAGGTTAACTAATGTGATCATTGTTCAATTTGATAAGAATGTTTTGTTTACGACTGCAAAACCAATCCGACGCTTTAAGTGACCCACCGGGTATGCTCCCGAAAGTCCGGATTTGCCACTGACTGAGGAGGATGTGTCAGTATTAACTGTTCCAAAACACAATTGAGGTAACAGGTCAGCGCAGTAGGTTAATAGTTCATTTCTGTTGTTAACGGGCTGTTTAACTTATTTTCCAAAGCCTGTTGTCTCCGAGGGGACTCATTGTAATGCACTAAATATAAGTGTGACTCAGCTCCTTGGCTGTAAATCACAAAGTAGCTGTCAGGTTTCAAATATCTGATTCTGAAAGAAATTCCTCATCTGCACAGTTTCAATGTGGATCTTTCACTGGCTACAAACATTACCATAACTGTAACATTATATGATAGCAGCACTGCACCAGTGTTCCTAGCTGAGGACGTTGCAAGGACAGCAGCTGTGTTGCACCACCTTCTCCTGTCTTAGCCGTGAATGTCTAACCTATTTGACACAGTGAAAAGTGAGCGAAGATTTCTCATCTCCAAGCAGGCCAAAGCAGATTATACGGACAACTCAGGTTCCTCCACAAAACAGATTAACACAGAGTAATTACTTTTGGCATGCTCGCTCTTTAAACACTTTAATCTCTCCGGAACAGCGGTTCATTTCAGGGGAAAGCTAAGGGTCCTCAAAGCTGCTGTAGTGGTTTACCTTAATCCCTAACTCTGCAGTTTTGTTGAGTCCACTTCTTGCACAGGTAGCAGACATGCAGATTTGATAAGAACCCTTCCTCGGACAAGGACTTTACACCAGGAAAAGGATGGACCCCAAAACTGGAGGGAGTTGTAAATTTTCTTTATATTTTTCTACTTTTGTATTTCCAACTGTGTCTCTCTTCATGTTAGCACTTGCTAAAATTTTCCACCTTAGATTAGGAAGCAACAGTGGGTTAAACAAAGACATTTCTAAAATGTGAAGTTAAGTAGGGATCTATCTCTTAATGTAAATTTACATATCACCTGAGAGGTAGAGATGATGCTAGGTAAAGGGCTTTTTGGTTTTGTTTTACTCTGGCTGCTTTTTCCACGTCACAGCATGATGTTTCGAGGGTAGGTCTGGAATTCCGCTAGTTCTGAACTATTCGTGTTTGTCAAAAGTTCACTACTAGCAGAACTCAGATCTGCTCCCGACTATCGACTGGTATCTCCATGACCATAGTCACTAAGAGGTCTGGTTTATTCATTCACTGTCTTAGGTAATTTCCAGTCATTAACTTGCAGTGACAGGAAATGACTGCAAATTGCTCCACTGGTGTGACGTGAACCAGCTCCATCTTTGCCAATCTTTACTTTCTTGTGTTTACTTCACACCAGATAATTCTGATTTATTTCAAATCTGTGTTTGAGGAGGATTTGATGATCAAAGTTTTTACTCCTTCTCTCCTGCTGTACAGATGTGCAAAAAAAGAGATCAATTCCAGAAATATTAGTATGATGTGTGATTGTGTGACTTTCACTTCTTAGCAACAATGTTTCTCAGTAATCTTAGTTTTTAGTATTTTGGCAAGGACTGTTTTTTTGCAAAGGGTTAACAGAGTTATAGATCCAAAATGTAACTTGTAATTTTCCTTTAGGTTTTTGATTTTTTTTTTTTTTTAAAGCACCAAAGGAGTAGTTATAGTTCCATTTTTAGATTTGTTTGTGCTTTCAGTTGCAGAAAATCCCTGATATGAGTCACTGTGAGGTCAACAAACCCCCTTACATCACTTAATATTTTGATTTCAAGCAAGCAAAAACAGAGAATATTTGGCTGCAGCTGCCTGAAAGATTTGACCTTCAACCATCACAATCATCTGGAATATAGAGTTTCTTATATGCATGCGTAGGTACATATAAGAAACTGCATGTTTTGATCTAATTGAATATTTGTTATAATTATGGTATGGAGGTGGATGCCTCAGAGGCACAGTGTCCTCTGATTGCTTCCCCATCAGCATGAATTTGAAGAAATCTACCATTTTATGAGGAGAAGGGCTTTCTCTGCAAGAAAAACCGTTTTGTATTTTTATTTTACAAAGATAAAAGTTGATCTTTTGTGTCTCATCCCCATTCGTTCATAATCAATAAAGACCATCTTACAAGTACACTCTAGGTGAATTGTAAGCCAATAGTGCTGCAATGGGATTAATGGGTTCTCTGTTAATCTCTATTGGGACTGCTGTGAAAGGTCATTAATTATGACACTATCTGTAGGACAAATGCTGCAGATCCTCACCTTTTGCAGCACAGTAGCAAATTAACAATTATATTTAAATTTAACACACAAAGTGGGTGTTTGCTCAGCAGACTCAATAACATTAAACACTTACTGAAAACTGTAATGTGGCTTTTGCATTATGTTTGAATTGCATACAAATGTCCTGAAAATAAATGTAACCATTTTCTTTACCATATTTAGCTGTGATTGATGCAGGGTTTCAAATATTAACAAGGACTTGGAGATAAATGCTGCTTTCTGAGCATCTATAAATAGAAGCTATGAAACAAATCCATGAGCTGTGAATAAATCAGAAGAGTGAGGTTGGTTTGCATCATTGTTAAAGCTTTTTTCTTTTCTTTTCCCACTTCCATTTCAATGTGAATGTTTACAGGAGTGTGTTTCTGCTGTACTTGTCTTCACTCAATAACTTTTACAGGCTTGCTAGGTGTGTGCATGTGTTTGTGTTTCTGCATAAAGAGTACACCATGAAAGACTAAACTAAAGTGCGAAACTAGAACCATTTCCTTCACTTCAATAACATTGATGTGCATTTGTGGATTTTCCTTTTACCTCAAGTATATCCTGTTGATCCCACGAGCCCATCTATGTGATGAGCTGATCCAGGAGCAGTAAATGTTGTAAATATAAGCAGCAACATTGTGTCCAGTTTATTGGTTTTCTCTTGCACTACACCACTACACATTAAAAAGATAAACAAATATATTATTTCGGGCTTCCTATAATAACTGCAGCACAACTTATCAAACATATTTACACATATTTCTATCATACTGTAAGTATTTCTGAAACCTAATATGGGTTTTCATGACCTGAATGTTATACTGGAAAAAAAAAACAACTAAAAACTAAACAAAACAAGATTGTTAAAATAAAATCTAATGCTAAAAAGGTATGCTTTAGTATCATGTCCATCATTATGTGCAGTGATGAGCCTTTTAAAGACACAAATAGTTGCTTCATCAATGAAATTTATTTCCTTTTTGTTAAACATTTTTACTGCATAAAACTATGTATCTGTAACAATAGCAAAAATACGTTTGTCACATTATTAGCATTTCTGTGCTATGTTCAGTATGCGAGCTGTCCAAATTGGGCACGAGTAACCTATGCAGGTGCAACTTTAGAGACTTCAGTGGTGGATTGACTTGATGACTCTTCATCGTCACCTCCGCTCATTCCCAGCATCTGCCTTATACACGAGCGGAACTAAGAGAGAACAAAGAGAAAGGTTTTGGTCACTTCTTATTAATCTGTTTAGTAGTCCTTGTAAAAAGCCATCTTAGTCACATTAAAGTGTCTCAGGGGAGATGGAGGGGACTCACAGACCACCACTCAGTGCAGCATTAGCATGTTACCAGCAGTGATGGATAAAAGCAAAAGCTGGCACAACAAAAGTCAGCGTGATTGGAGGGCGGTAACTTATTATTTACTCCCTCTTGATGTTTTTTTTTTTTACATTTTCATGAAAATTGACAATAAATGAGTGTCTTCTTTTTTTTCCATGTTTATTTAGGCTCAACTGTCTGTCAGATTTTGTCTTGGAGGATGGGTCAACCCTTTTGTATTTTCTAAAAGCCACCATTAGGGGGCGTCCGTGGCCAACTCAGTCACAAGCTCAAATAAAAACAAAACAAAACACAAAGCTGATGATCCATGTTTGTTACCCTGCTTAAACTAAGCAAAGCTTCAGTTTAGTGAAATGGATTCAAATTTAGGCTAAGTTAAATTTATTTCACTTTGAGCTGCCAAAGATTTTTACCTGCTTATTGAGGAGGATGTAAATGACTGGGTTGTAGACTGTGGAGGCCTTTGAGAAACAGGAAGGAATGGTGGCCAGTCTCAGGTCGAATGGCTGCCCACGGTTATTCACAACCCAGATGGCAAAGGAGGTATATGGCATCCAGCACACCAGAAAGCCCAGCACCATAATCACCACCATCCTGGTCACTTCCTTCTCTGCCTTCTGGGTAGAGGCAGACTCTGCTTGGGCCTTTACTGCCTTTTGAGACAGATCATTTGTCAGAATCAGCATCAGACTGGAAAATTGTAAGTATAAAAATATATTTTTCCTTCATTCCCACCCCTTCCCTGGTTTGCTTTGCCTTCTAGTATTTCTCTTTAATAAACAAAACTAAACACAACACAATCGCCCTAAACATAGGATACGACAATTGCTAACCAATGTCATATTGCCTACCGCTTTCAGCATGAACAGCAGCTGTGAGTAGCAGAAGACGATGGTGGAGAAAGGGACAGCAAAGCAGAAGCAGAAGAGGAACATCACGTAGGTTTCATTGTTAAACTTGTTGCCTGTTGTGTACCAGTCTGGGCCACAGGAACACTGCATGCCCTCTGGGATATACCTAGAAAGAGAAACAATTATTTTCCGCTGTGGTATATGTATACATATGTTATTAGCCCTAAGAGAACCATTTGCATCAAGGTTACAGCAAATGAATTATAAAGTGCTTAATCTATATGTACTCACCTGCTCCATCCAAACAGAGGTGGAAGTGCAGCGCTCAGACCGCAGACCCAAGTCAATCCACAGCATGCTATAGCGTGGCTGGACTTGAAGGCAAAGTTCCCAAGTGGCTTGCACACAACCAACCATCTTTCAAATGCTACCACAGCAAGAGACCACAGGCTAACCATACCTGCAAGAGGACAAAGATAACGATAACTACGTGAATATTTAGAAACAGCAGCTGCTTTTTATATATTGGCTCACATAAGCACATAACCAACAACTTCTTTAACAACAACAGTGCCTTATGTGGCATTCTTTGAAAAAAAGAACATTTTGGTGCTCAAAATAAAGTTAGCTTTATATAGTACCATACGGTATGCAATGATACTGGCACCAGTACAGTGATAGCTCTATTTCTCCTACAAATAAGGACACAATATGGATTTTATGTGTCATGTGAAAAACAAATAGCTTATTATTATTATCATTATTATTATTGCAGTTCAGATTTTAAAAAAAATCCCTATTGAGAGCGCTTTGGTTGACAAAAAGTGGCATAGGTCAAATCTCTCACACGCATCATTTTAATTCGAGTGTAATAATATGATGCATGATGTAATCCTTTTTTCTTACTTAACAAAGTCTATAATTATGCTCCTTACCACCAAGAGTTGCTGTAAATCCTTCAATCTTGCATGCAATTGGACCAGGGAACATGTATTTAAAAGCAAAACAGATGAAGCAGGTGAAAGAGCCCACAGAGGAGACGAGGAGGTTCGCAACAGCCATGTTCACCAGGATGTAGTTTAGATGAGACCGGAGCTTCTTGTATTGGACAGTACATGCGATAGTGAGGACATTGATGATTGTGCCGGCCACCCACAAGAAGAACATAAATGCTGACATGGAATAAAAGATCATCGGGCTTCCTAAATGGTCTTGGGGAACCAGGTATGGGCTGAAGGCTGTGATATTGTTGGTGTCCAGAGGGACGGGGATCCAGAAGTCATCTGGGAACTCAGTGGGACGATTTCCTCTCATTTTCTTAGATGGAGTTTGCGATCAAAATCTATATCTAAAATATAAAAAAAAAAAAACACTTTAAAAGGCTTCAAATAAACTGCATCTAATTTCAAATAGTACTCAGAGATTTCATTTTTCCCTCCGTCTTATATCTGAGATGCTCGTCTGTCTGAAGCAGAGTTAACAGCGGCATTTATAGGAACTTTGATGATTGCTGAGGCTCAACATAATTGGCTAAAGGACAGGATTTAAAGCTTTCCTTGCATTCCGATAACAACATACCCTACCCAATAGCTAATACACAGATTACTATCGCATTACCAGACTTGGCAAGGATCATCTCATTACATCCTAGTGTAAGGGCAGTGTGTTTGTGAACCATATAATCTGATCTACAGGGACTTCCAAGAGGTCAGTGCATGCATCTCACCCTCAGTACTCCTTTTTTCTGGCACAATTATTTTTCACCAAGAAGGAGTAATCAGACTTATGGAAAAGGTTTTTCTATCTGTCTCTTCATCCCTTATCTTGCTAACTACTCATCAGATCTACTTTACAGTTGGTGGTTACAGGTCCTTTGAATGAGTCATTGGTCTCTTTTTGGGGGTCTTCCCTCTATTGATTGGCAACATTATCAAACCTTTAAGATCAAATTTCTTCCCCTGCCGAGGATATCACATTCCTCTGTGACCTCTTAATTATGTCACCACTTCAGACAGCATAGTTTATATAAACTTCCACTGCAGTGAACACCGCTCTAGGCAAAATGTTAAACCACTGACAGGTGAAGTCTGTAACACTGATAATCTTGCCAGAAACTTTCTTGAACCATTGGATTTTGGTGTTTATGTGGATGTTATTTTTGTTTGTTCCAGAACAAGCAGACCCCCCTCCCCCCAGCACTGGAAGCAGTCTGACCCAGCAGGACAATGTCCTGGAGTAGGTACTGTCACAAAAACATCTTAGGATTGGCTTGAGTTACAAAACAAAAAGTTCAAGCTGTTGACCTGGCATTCAAATTCCACAGATCTTAATTGGATGAAGCATCTGCCTGTACTTGACCTATGAGTCAGGACTGTCTTGGTATCCATCCATCCATCCATTGATTTTCCTCCACTTATCCAATTCTAGATTAGGAAGGTGGTGACTGGAGTCTGTCCCAACTACAATAGGGACAGATCACCAGTCTGTGTATTGTATATATTTAATTTTCTGCCTGTAAACTCCATTTTGGCAGTTTGCATTGAGTAACAAACTTACAGACTCACTTTTAGAAGCCATGCAAAAAAAATACTTGCTCATCCTACTCTCAAACCTTTACTTTTACTACATAGTAAATGTTTTATACAGCTGATTTCTAGAGGTCATCAGAGGTCAACCAGCCCCCCCACATTAATGGAATCAAACAAAACTGGTGTCAATCAACTGTGCTATGTTTGTGCTGCTTGGTGCTGCTAAAACTGTCGTTTGTGCTGCCTCTGTTTTAACAATATTAATGAAAATGTAAAGGTCAAAGGTCAACCAGCCCCCCCACATTACCCAAATCAAAGAAAAATGATGTCAAACATTTGTGCTACATTTGTGCTGGTTTGTGCTGCAAAAATTTTCATTTGTGCTGCTATCATTTCAAAAATATTAATAAAATAATGTCTTGATGCATGCTTAATCATCCAGGTAAGTTCCAAAAGGTTGATTCTGTTCATCTGGACATTTTCAGTGGGAGAAACGTTTTGTCACTCATCCAAGTGACTTCTTCAGTCTCAGCTGACTGCAGGTTTCCCCAACCTTATAAACAGTACATTTGCACAGCGAATTAAACTAGCACCACTGAATGAACAATGGGCTGGGGGGTTAGTTCCATGATTGTTAGAATGCAAATTCTTATGACCATTGATCAACGACTACTAATCCAATACACAGATTCTCGAATGGCCATGAGTACCATTCACAGAGAGTTGGGGAATGGCTGCAATCACAGCATTGAAAGATGGCGAAAGATGTACCCTTGGGCCCCCCTTCTCGATTCAGAGATGGTCAGCATCTCGACAGCCTGATGGACGAAGCTGTCTCTCAGTCTGGCCCAGAGGCTCTTCAGTGTCCTTCCTGATGGCAGCAAGCTGTTGAAGGGATGAGTGGAGTCACTTGTAATGGAGAGGACCTTCCGGATGAGGCACGCGCAGTAGATCTCCTGGGGAGGGAGGCAAGAGAGGTCCCCCCAATCCTCTCCGCTGCTCTCACTACCCGTTGTCATTTTTTTCCTGCAGGACCCAGTGCAGGAGTCATACCACACAGTGATGCAGCTGGTGAGGATACTCTCAACTGTGCCTCTGTAGAAGATGCACATAATGGGGGTTGAATCTCTTGTGCTTCTCAGTTTGTAGAGGAAGTAGAGTCGCTTCACTCACATTGTTTAGTCTCGTTATTCAGACTAATCCTTAATCACCGTGTCTTGTTAAAAACCCACATTCTTCTTAAATTTTTAATGTGAGTTGACATATTTTAAGACTAGCACACGCAGATCCCCCTTAAACATCGAATTCAACCCATTTACAGTGAAGCTGCATTAGCTTGCACACAAAAAACAAGCACTGCTAGCCCTGCTTGCCCCAACTGAAAGACGCTGGTTGTGTCTTTCAGTTTTAGTTCAGTGGTTGTGTGATGACACATAGCTGACTAGGGAATATTAACTAAGCAGGATGGCCCATCAAAAAAAAAAAATCTTCCTCCCGCCCCTGGGGGCGGTCTATCCTATCGGGTCCTCTACCAGAGGCCTGAGAGCTTGAGGGTCCTGCGCAGTATCTTAGCTGTTCCCAGGACTGCGATCTTCTGGACAGAGATCTCCGATGTTGTTCCCGGGATCTGCTTGAGCCACCTAGTGCTCCGATTACCACTGGGACCACGGATACCTTCACCCTCCACATCTTCTCAAGCTCTTCTCTGAGCTCTTGGTATTTCTCAAGTTCCTCGTGTTCCTTCTTCCTGATGTTGCTGTCATTCAGAACCGCTACATCTATCACTGTGGCCATCTTCTTCTATTTGTCTACAACCACTATGTTCGGTTGGAGCCACCATTTTGTCTGTCTGTATCTGGAAGTCCCACTGCTCTGTCATTCTCCACCACCCTTGAGGGCATCTTCCATTTTGACCTTGGGACTTCCAGGCCATATTCTATGTTTGTTTTGGGGTTGTTGTTTTTTTCATTTCCAAACCTATAAGGTGACAATTGATACAGGTGGACAGCTAGTTTTTGCTGCTGGTGACAGAGACCTGGCAGACACTGTGACCCTGTCTTTGTTTGGATAAGTTGACCAAACATAGTAATTTCACTGACTTCTGGTTGAAAAGTCCTTTTGCATAAAAGTCTTTTGCGAAAAATCCCACAGCTCCCGTGATTGACGCTAGCACTTTTCTGAAGAATTCATGGTCACAGTTGTTTTTCTAGTCTTATGAAAGACAACATGATGTTAGTTAAACTGTGGTCTGAGAGTCAGAGAGGATGACAAACGAGGGTAAGGTTAAGAACAGATCTACCTAACTGAACAGTCACGTTGCAGTTACATGTGTATCCGATGTCCATCAGTGTCTCAGCCATGCCCACTCCTTCACTGATCATGTCCACTTTCAAAATACCAAGATGGCTGAAGGATATGACTATGGCTCATGGTGCTTATGTGAACTACAGATTTTTATGTTATAAAACACCTTTTTGAACAATATAATATTTTGTATTTTGGTTGCATGAGAGTGACCTGAATGAAATAAGTTTGAGACAATAAGACAAAAACATTTCGCTAATAAAAGTGCAAATACATATTAATCACACGCTTAATAAATATCACATTTAAAATGATAACAAAAATACTTTTATATAGCACACTATAATATACTCTCATAGTGCACTTTTTAACAACTTCTAAGTGTTGGAGAAAAACACAGAGCAAGTGAAAACGTGTTTTCAGTCAAGCACAGAGATTCAGTAAAGATTTTGTGTCTGTTTTTTATTTGTATTTTCATTTTGCAGATTATTCCTACTTAAATCATGACATTTTTACATATGATAAAATACATGTACATTCTTTGTAATTTACAGTTCAGAAATCAGCGAGCATTGACGTGTTGCCTAAGCAGGCCCGACTTTGGAAACTTCAGTCACCGATTGTGTTGTTGAGCTCTCCTCCTCACCTCCTCCCATCCCCATCATCGCTAACATACATGTACGGAACTGCAAGGGAAAAACATATTTGTAGATTAAATCTCCTGTGCAAAGTTATAAAGTATCATATTTTTTATGCATAAAAACAGCCCAATTATTTATAGCTTTAGGACCACAGCTAAGATATGATACAGCCTATATAAAGTTAAGAAAATAGGTTGGTTAGTAGACTTTTGCACCAAAAACATCTTCAAAGCACGAACATCTTGCCCAAGGACACGTGTATGGACTGGAGTCGCCAGGGATCCAACAACTGACTTGTTGCTCTACCTTCTAACGGAGTCACAGCAAGGGAACTGAGCCATTGACCCCCAGATTACCCCTACCTATAACCCCTTTTATTTACATTCCTTCTAAATGGGACAAAAATTAACCAAACATGTTGTTTAAGTTGGATATAAAAGAGTCACAGTAGTGAGATACACATAGATAAAGTAGAGCATCGATTCAAAGCTCCGGCACATCAGATAACTTTAAAACATGTTGTTTGGTGTATTAAAAACCAGGAGAAGACAACCCATTTGCTTCTAAATAACTTAGTACTTACTCGGCACAGCATGTAACTGACCTGTTTATTAAAGACCACATAGATAACAGGGTTGTAGACTGCTGAAGCCTTTGAGAAACAGGACGGTATAGTCGCAAATCTCAGATCGAATGACTGCCCACGGTTGTTCACAACCCAAAGAGCAAAGGAGGCATATGGCATCCAGCACACCAAGAAGCCGAGCACCATAATCACCACCATCCTGGTCACTTCCCTCTCTGCCTTCTGGGTGGAGGCAGACTCAGCTTGGGCCTTGGCTGCCTGTTAATGTGGGATTGATCAGGGTCATGTTGGAAAGGTTACTTTGAAAAAAACCACAAGTCATGTGAATAAATAGAAGAGTTTACGTTGTGCTTTGATCTTGCAGATATTAATAATACTAAGCGTGTCAGTTTGAATGGTAAGTAGATCTGGCCTGTTAGATCTTGGCTTTGATAGGATATAAGACAGCATTTATTTAAGTATACATGTTTCTCAGTCATCAAGAGAATAATTTCAGTAGACCAAAACCATCTCATTTTGTCTCACCATTTTCAGTGTGATGAGCAGCTGGGAGTAGCAAAAGATAATCGTGGTCAAAGGAACAGCAAAGCAGAAGCAGAACAGGAACATCACATAGGACTCATTGTTGTATTTGTTGTTTGTGGTGTACCAGTCTGGCCCACAGGAGCACTGTAGGCCTTCTGGAATATACCTGCAAGGAAAAGTAGAAGCACGTTCTACTTAAATGCATTGTGTTGCCAGCTGATTTTCTGAAGTATGTTGTGTCTGTTGCTTACCTGCTCCAGCCGAACAGTGGAGGAGCTGAGGCAAATACTGCAAAAAACCAAGTGAATGCACAGCAGGCTATAGCGTGGTCGGGCTTGAAAATAAAGTTACCGAGCGGCTTGCAAATCACAAGCCATCGCTCGAAAGCTATCACAGCAAGGGACCACAGGCTTACCATACCTGCAATGACAGGAAAACCCTTTAACTCCCTCTAGAAATCAGCATAAATAAGTCTATTAAAAGGGAGATGGGCTACAACGGATTTTTACAGTGTTGTCTGCAGCCAATGACTTACCACCGAGTGTTACCATGAAACCTTCAATCTTGCATGCTAGCGCACCAAAGATGAAATATCTGAATGAAAAAGTGCAGCAGGCAGTGAAGGAGCCCACAGTGGACACAAGAAGGTTTGCTGCTGCCAAGTTCAACAGGATGTAGTTGAGGTGAGATCGAAGTTTCTTGTATTGGATGGTGCATGCAATGGTAAGGGCGTTGATGAAAGTGCCAAAAATAAATACGAATAACATGAAAACTGCCATGGCGTAAAAGGTGGCAGTATCCCCCAAGTGGTCCTGTGGAACCAGAAAAGGGCTAAGTGACGTGATGTTGTTTGTGTCCAGGCTGACGGGTATCCAGAAGTCTTCTGGCAGCTCCATATCACGTTTACCCTTCATTTTGCTTATTTCGAACAACGTACTCCTGCTGATGTTACGGCTCAAATTAGGTATCGCGCAGGCTCTGCCAAATAATAAATTTAAGGAGCAGACATGAACGCTGTGCGGTTAGGAATTCTATCGTCTCTTGTCTTTATTGGCTGTGTGCGTCGTATTGACGTTTATAAAGGGTTTCATGACACTGATCGCTATAAAGTGGTTAATTGATTATTTAATTGACTACGTAATTAATTGACTAATTTAATTGCCTTCATAGCTTTTCATTTTATTAACTGGTGTTGATGCTTCTGTGGTTTCCAGTTCTGTGTTGCGTGCTGTGATGCTAAATTCTGAGATTTGGTTATTTGACAGATATCTGAACTAACAAGTATTTGAATCTGGGAACAAACACAAGCATATTTGGACTTCCAAAAATCTGTGCAAACCTAGATATGTTTTTGGCATCCAAACTTGGTTAAAGAGGTTAATCCCTCTTTCCTAAGGAAGTTCCCTGCCGGTCTTCACCTGCTAATCTGGTTTCCAATCACATTATATTTGATAATCTCTTGTTAAGTGGATTACACCCTATTTTGCATGGGGATTTAACTCAAGCTTTGTGTTACCTTCCTGGCATTTTGCTGCCTTTACTGAGCTTAAGGGAGCGTCTTTGTTGCACTAGCATGCAAGATTGAAGGTTTTATGGTAACACTCTGTGGTACGATTTAAGCTGGCGGGTTAATCGCAGAATTTGCTCATTGTCGTCCCAACGATCCAATACAGAGGAGGATGTGCATAAGCATACTTAAGAGGAAGAAAGTTAGTGGAGGAAAATAGAACTATTAAACTAGCTTGCTCAACACTTTCTTATTTCTAACTTTATTTCATTTTAATGGGCAAAAAGGTTGTAGACTATTTCATACAGGAAAAACAAAATTGCACAACCTCAGCAATTTGGTGTGTATGTGAATATTAACAAAATACAGCTATGATATGCAGCCAGTCAGCAGCAGTTTATAAAAAATCAACCTAATCACATGCATTTCCACTCGAAGCAGGTCCAACTCATGTTGAGGAGTCTTCATCCTTATTTCTGCTCATCCTCAGCATCTTTATTTAGTTTTTTTTTTAACATTGAAAAAAAGATGTTGATAAAAATTTCTGTTTCTATAGTTTATTTATATAAGCTGCTGTTTCCTGATGCATTTGCAGCTGCTTTAATAAGACATTTTAATTTAAACCTGTTTGTTAGTTTATATTATTTTTGAGATCTTTTAATTATGGAAAGGATAGGGACTTCTACAGACAGCAAGTTTCCAGAATGTGGAGACACGTGATGTCCATGCTGTTCTTTTGTGCTTGCCAAAAATTGGCAGGAGATCCTAAAGATCTGTTTATCAAGGACAACATGGACAACTAGGTTAAAGACTGCAGGGGATCTTGGAAAAGACAGACACTATAGAAGCAAATCTCAAATCAAAAGACTGATGGTGGTTGTTCACAAGTACAAAAGCAAAGCTGAGATGTATCATGTCAGGAAGCCCAGCACAAAGATCAACACCATCCTGGTCACCTTGTTGTTGGGCTTCAGGGTGGACGCAGATCCAGCTTGGGTCTTTGCTGCCTGTCAAGTAAGAAAACAAGATGACTTACATGGCTTCTGCATGTTCAGCAAGTCACCCATCTGCTTGTTTCATTACAGAAAATTTACCTTTGCATAGTATGTAGTATGTGTGATTTTCTCCACATCCACAGGAATGGGGCAGTTTTTGTGTGATGCAGCATCTATTGTAGGTGTGCTGGAGTAAAGCAGCAGAGGGAGTGGGAATACATTTACAGGCCTGTCAAACATTTAAATACTTAATTAATTCAATGATTAAACAATTATTTATTCATTAAGTAAGCGACAGCATTAAGAGGGTTGTGGGTTTGAAACTGCATGGGGCCTTCCTCTGTGGAATTGTTCTTACTGTGCATGTGAGGCTTTTCTCAGGAAGTTCACCCCATATAACAAAAACCTATATGACAAGTTAATTAGTAGGTCTTAATTGGAATTTTATGTAACTTTGATCTTGTCACTCTCTGAAGTTGGCAGTCACCCTGTCCAGGCTGTACTCTGCCTCTCACAGTATCAGCTGACTTGACCCCTATGACTGTAACTGGATGTATTGATGGATTTATCCAGAAAAGGAAAAAGCAAATCCTCCAGGAATATCACCAGAAGCAAGAAATATAAAAATGAAAAATTAGATGCCAATATATGTTTTTAGGGTATGCTCAATATAATGAACATGAAGTAATGGCTATCTACTGACAAACATGTTTCCACAGATAAGCAAACACGTTAGCGAGTGCCAATGCACAAGATGGTTCAATTAGCTCCACTATAGAGGGAAGGACACTGTTTTGGGATCTGCTAATCCAGGTACCAGCGCTATTACGACAGCAAATCACATTCAGTCTGATCTTGATTAACCTGCTTGCTGTTAGTATTAGGATGGATGATCTTGACCTTCATTATCGTATCAGGCTCAAGAAAGGATTATCCGATGTAGAGGATGGATCTCTGCAGACGGCAGAGTTTGGGCATTTTTTTCCACTTCAGAACAAATTACAGCAGGACAGATATAATGTTGATAGTCTCTTCATGACAAGTAGGTGAAGAAAGTGGGGAATATTGTCTTTGTGAGTTCTACTGTGGAAATGCACACTCACTGTAAAAAAACAACAACAACAAAGAAACTGTGTAATTTAACAGTGTTTTCCTATTAACTCTCCAGGAATTTAAATATATTAAATATCAACAAAATTACAAATATAGACTGTGGACTTACAAGTCAAACCTGTAACTGTGAATGACGATATTTTCCCCACATAGAAACACTATAAAAGAAAGACTATTCACAAATTCAGCTCGATTTCAGAAATATATAATTGTTTTAATGCTGTAAATACTGTACATATATGACATTTGATGCAATGAGTGCAAATTAATAGGAAAAGAAGTCAAAGTATAGGTTCTGAAATTTTGCATACATTTGCTTATTATTTAGCAGACATCTTGTGTAATTATAAAGCTTTTACAGTAAAATAATGCTTTAGCTGTTAAAGCTGTAAGTTCCTAAACAGTAACAAGTAAACCCGCAATCTCATTATTGTAAAAGGACATTTGGACCAACCTTAAATCAGACAACTAATGCCAGAGTTTCACAAAGACTTGACCCAGACTGCTGTCTTTATTTGACAGATGTTGTTGTGAATGTGAATGACACATACAGTACAAGTACATATGAGAATTCTAAGGACTGTCTGCTGTACATAGTATATGTATATTTTTTAAAAATAAAATTAATCAAAAATAGGTCATAAACACATTTAGTGTACATGTTGGTGGTTAGCACCCTGCCATCATCTCTGCACATCCTCCACCTGTGCCTTCAACACAAACACCTCTTATGCCCACCTAGCTCAGCCTGCTCTGGCCTGTGACGGTTCAGTTTTGGACCTTAAATAATAAAAGCATTGAGAACATTAAAAAAAAGTATCCTACTTTGCTCCCTAGACTGCTGTCATTTCCTTATGAGGCATTTTATTTGGGGCAATGCCATTGTAATGAGCTTCTGCCAGCAATAAAGAAATAATATCAGTCTCCACCAGGTGGCATGCCATCCAGCTTCAGACTACCATACAAACCCACCAATCCATCCTCTCGAAATTTAGCGTATGAGAGGTCCAGAATTATTTGCCGTAGATGTCTTCTACCCCTAGATTCTTTACTTGGGACAATAACATGAAGTGAGGTAAATGGTTGTCTGTCTCTCTGTGTTTGCCCTGCAACACATTAGTGATCTGTCCAGAGGGTATTCTACCTTTTGCCCAGTGTGAGCTGGATAGGCTTCAGCCCCTGCAACCTTAAATTCAAACCAAAGAAGATGGATGGGCTATGGGTGGGTGGATGATGGATGGATATTATTGGCAGGTGATAGATGTACATTTAGGCAGTTACCATTCCAAACAGAAGGCACAAAAGTAGCCTGCTAAGAAATAGAATGGATAATTCCTTTGTCCAGACTCTTTCATAAGCAACAAGGTAAACCTAAAAGATGTGTTTTGACTCAAAAGTGGTCCTCAGTCCACTGCATTCCAGTCGGAGATTAACTGATTTTTGTATTTTCCCATAAATAATAATAATGACAAATCTCACCGCCTATTGAAAAGGTGCAAATGGTGCATACAAACTCACCAGACTGCAAGAAATGTAGTGGCTGTAATAAAAGTAACTGGGTTTATTCCACCCCAATACCTAAATGAAACCAGCGCCCATGTTTGCATTTTCTTTGTCACTGTTGTCATTTTTCATCAGGTTAATATGGCTTTGTGTGTGATTAGGAAAGCAATTAAGATAACATCCATTTAGAACAGAGGGTAAATGTAAGACCATCAAGGATGTGACGCTGTTCCTGTCACTGTGTTACTGTGTTTGTACACTGGTGTGACCCTCCGTGCAAGTCCCTAAAATGAAGCATTTGGTAGAAAAAAAAGAAAACAAAAACATTTAGGTACGTGTTCTGAAGATGCTCAGTGAAGATCTGTGGACGATCACAGGATGTGTGAACAAAAAACTAAATGATGTGCAATCTGGTGCATGATGTTTTCTTTTTAAATAACAAAATGCATAGAACTCCTACTTTACAACCTTGCTCATCATTTGTGACAACTCTGTGCTGTGACAAATCAACCCTTTACAAGATTATTTACCTTTAGAATTCCTGAATATAAGTTTATAAAGCCAAACAACCTCACAGATGTGGGCACAATATGAATATGAATGAGTCAGACAGCCTGCTGTAGTGGTGGGAGGGAAAAAAAATCCCTTCTCAAAATCCCGCTCAAAATCCTTGATCCGTGTCACTTGAGTGACATCATGATCTCTTTAGGGTTTGAAAGCTCAGCTCTCCTGCCATTATCTAAGACTCTTAATGAGTGTAAACAATTACTGGCATCTGAGCACCACTGACCTTTCTCAGTCTGCTGTACTCATCCAGGTGAGCTCATGTATGAGAAACATGGACAGTATGTCAGTATGTACTACAAAAAATATATATGTGCTGTGTTTTCGTGACCCAATCTGGTTAAAATCTAAACATGACGATAATAATAATGACAATAAAAAATACAGTGACACTGATCAAGATTTTTCACAGTACAGCATGTGTAGCCATCACTCAGCAAGACGTGAACAAGAGTATTTTTCCAAGTGTTCCGTGATCTCTGCTATTTCCTTTGTTTTCGTTCTTTAGGCAGAGGTCGTGCTTGGCTTTCTAGGAAGCTTTCATCCTTTTATCTCATCATTATCGTCATGACGGCCCTAACGAGTTTCCAATCTGTCTGTTGAGACTTCCGAGACATAATCCCTTTCCTGCGGCACGCATGAAATGTCCACTGAAATGGCTTTACCATTGTAGTTTCTTTCTTTCTAGTTCTTTCAAAATAAAAACAATCTTGACCAAACACAATATGAGGAATAGTTATTCTTTAGTTTTTCTGCATCAATGGCAATTTTCTTCATTTTAGGTTTGATCAGAAAAACAAAGGGACCTATTTGAGTGTGCAGCTGTAGTTGGACCTTATAGCCTATTTGATGGTCATTTCCAGCGTTGTGCAAAACTCGTGAATCATCCTTCATTTCTTTATATTCTGATGGGCTTGAAAGTCAATGGTATGACTTTATTTATTCTTCAAAACACTGTGAACTTTCCTAGGCAGGTTTTCTTGTGATTTCTTTAAGAAGTCTTCAGGAATAGTTCTCCAGGCTTCGTGAAGGACATTCAAAGCTTTTCTTTGGATGTTGGCGTCCTTTTGTTCTGTTCAATAATGTTGAGCTCCCCACTCTGGGGAGGCCAATCCATGACTCGTGGTGTTTCACTGTGTTTTTTCTATCCAGGTATGGTTTTACTACGCTGGCAGTGCGTTTGATATCATCATCCTGAAAATAATTCTTTCCAGAGGGTAAGGTCTCTATATTGCATAATGGATCAAAATCTGATGGAACATTTCTTTGTTCATAATTAGATCAGTCTTGACAAATCCCCAACACCACTGGCTGAAATACAGCCCCACACTGTGATAGAGCTTTTTTTCGTTATGCGTAGACACAACATTGCTTCATTTTTTGAGTTAGGTGCAATTTTTTATGCTTGAATAATTGATAGGTTCGTGTTAAGCGAGTTAACAAACAATCAACTGGCTCCTTGGAAATAAAATACAAGTAAATGGAGGCTGGCTCAAGACAGTCATGTATATAAAAGTGGCTTGGTTTTTAATTTGTTTGTTCTTCCTTTCTTTTTTAAAAAATTTTCTTTATATGACAGCAGTGAGTTAAACGCGTATATAAATCACAGCACTAAAACCTGTGCTGAACAGCTGGCTCCCATCTTTACTCTGACTGAATGACTACAAACCTGTCGCCTTGACGTCTGTGGTCATGAAATCCTTTGAACGACTGGTGTTAGCCCATCTGAAAGACATTACAGGCCACCAGCTGGACCCTCTGCAGTTTGCCTACCGGGCAAACAGGTCAGTGGATGATGCAGTGAACATGGGGCTGCATTACATCCTGCAACACCTCGACCGCCCGGGAACTTATGCCAGGGTCCTGTTTGTGGACTTTAGTTCGGCTTTTAACACCATTGTGCCTGAACTTCTCTCCTCCAAACCCTCCCAGCTCAGCGTGTCACCAGCTACCTGTCAGTGGATCACCAGCTTCCTGACAGATTGAAAGCAACAAGTGAGGCTGGGGGAGATCACCTCTGAAACTCGGTCCCTCAGTATTGGTGCCCCTCAAGGATGTGTCCTCTCACCACTACTGTTCTCCCTCTACACTAATGACTGCACCTCCAAGAACTCGGCTGTTAAACTCCTAAAGTTTGCAGATGAGTCTGCATACCGGCAGGAAGTTGAGCGGCTGGTACTCTGGTGCAGTCAGCACAATCTGGAGCTGAACACTCTTAAGACTGTAGAGATGACAGTGGACTTCAGGAGACATCCCTCAACTCTGCCCCCCCTCACCATATCAGGCAACCTAGTGTCAACTGTGAAGATCTTCAAGTTCCTGGGTACAACCAACTCCCAGGACCTGAAGTGGGAGACCAACATCAACTCCATCCTCAAAAAGACCCAGCAGAGGATGTACTTCCTGAGACAACTGGGGGAGTACAGTCGACACAGGAGCTGCTGATCCAGTTCTACACTGCGGTCATTGAGTCTGTCTTGTGCTCCTCCATCACAATTTGTTATGGTGCAGCCACTAAACAGGACAGGAGCAGACTGCAGCGGACTGTACGGGCAGCAGAAAGGATCATTGGCGCCCCCCTGCCCTCCATCCAGGATCTGTACCTCTCAAGAACCAGGAAACGGGCAGGGAAAATCATCACAGACCCCTCACACCCTGGACACA